ACCCACCCAACACAGGCCCCCCCCCCCCCCCCCCCAAAAAAAAAAATTCTCATTCACTTCTATGGCCATGTTTACATCTGAGCATCATGTCGCCTGTAGCAGAACGCCTGTCGTTTTGTACATATACATGTTCTTTTTTGGCAGATTCTACGCTTCTTGGGCCCTGATTGTGTGTATCCATTTGATACAAGCTGTACTTCTTTCCTTCCATGTGTGTTCGTAAAGAAAAAACACTGAAAAGAAAAGAACTGCTTGCATATGCAGTGTATTTACAACAACTATCCTTTAACTTCTGGCTGCTGTCCCGCTGTTAAGGGATATCATTTTGACATATAAACACAACTATTGTACCTACAACTAACAGTTCAGATAAACATAATTCTGAACAGGGCAGCCAAAGTTCCAACATCAGAAAGGCCTTTTTCACATAGGCTGTCCGATTGGGTCCCCTGTCAATTTGTCAGGCAGGCCTGATGCCCAATAAACGGACGGGCATCCATTTGCACCCGGTTACCCCTGACTCCGGTCAGGTCCTGATAAACTCTGTTCCATTTCGCCAGACCTGATCATGCCGGATTAGGGGTAATCTGATGTAAACAGACACGTCTGTTTACATCCGATTCCCCATAGACCAACATGCGGTCTGGTCTGGCAGTTTTAGTTCTTTGCGATGGAGGAGAAAACTGGACAGATGCAGATGTCACATGGGTGACATCCGATCCGTACTGCTCCGATCAGGAGGGGATCTGTGCATGCATGATTTAATACGTTTCTTTGCACAGGTAGACAACCTCGTTTTCTGTGCTGACATTGACTCGTGCTACATATAAAAAATGATGCATTATATTTAAATTAACATTATGCATTTAAATGTGTTACAGTGATTCAAATTTAATTTTATATTTCTCAAGATTCTTATGTGATAAAAGTCCTTCTGAAATTATATTTGTGTTCAGCTTGAAGCGGTCTAGAACAATCATAAAAACATTTTGTTGTGATTGAAGCACAACTTTTGAAACTGTTTCCTTTCCTAATTACACAAACTATAAAAAAAAAAATGATAGATGTTCTTATGCTGGGTTCACACCTGGGCGTACAGAATATGCGCGTTTCGTGCCGCGCGGTTTACGGTAAAAGAAATGTGCGAAAAACGCGCGTTTACAAGGGCTATCGGGCTGTATCCTAATGGATACGCGCTGCAAATACGCCCCAAAGAAGCTCCTGTACTTCTTTGGGCGTAGGGTGTTTTTAAGCGCGTTCCTACTCGCTGTAAAAAGCCCAGGTGGGAACCATGCCCATAGGCAATTATTGGTTTTCACATGTTGAGCGTTTTACAGCGCATAGGAACGCGCTGTACAACGGCCAGGTGTGAACCAGGCCTTACTCTTCCCACTCCACTAAAAAATGTGTTGTTGAAGTCTTTGACCCTATGGAAGATAATTTTTTTGCTTCCTGTCTCAGTGACCACCATCTCTGGGACAGACAATAGAAACTTGGGAAAGTTTATTTCTCTTACCATCTCTATCCAAAACACAAAAAAAATTACTACTACTTTATTTCTACTTTACTGTCCAGCTAAAATAAGCAATTGGCAGCAGAGTAGCATTTCCTCATTAACATGAGGCGACAATAGTAAAAACAGGCATAACATAGTGGAACATTTAAATGGTAAAATCATTTTCTTAATGAAGAGTTCAGGAAAGTGATGTTGATCCTTTCTAAACAGCTCAGTTTTTCCACGAATATCTGGAAACACAACTTGGCTATACTGAGTAGAATCTGAAAATCTTATTTAATGCTTGAATGTTTTCAGCAAACCACCGATGTACATAAGACTGGTACCCCAGAAACCATATTATTATTATTATACTAGAAACCCTTTAAGAAATAACTCTTAGATGCAGGTAATCTATATCTGACAATCAGAATGTAATCAATAAGCCGAAAAACAGCATCATTACATAATGTGACGTCAACTGTGTTACTGATGCCAAGGAAGACAGAGTTGGGGTTGAATAGGGTATAGTGATTTAATAGGGAACAAAATAAAACGTGACAGCAAAGCTTGCTAGAACAGCATACACTAGGGTCAGACAAATCCCCGGCGCCAGGCAGCCAATGCTCCTCAAAAGTTACAGCTGGCGCCATGTTAATTTTAATGTACATATTAAAAGGTACATTTTGCTAGCGTGGATGTAGCCTAAATGCCCCGTAAGGTCCAAATAAAGACAGACAGTCTGATCAGGTAGCAAGACTGTATACATTTATATAATTATTTATTATTGGTATTTTATATAGTGCCCACAATAAAGAGACAATTATTGTACAATAATGGTGGAGGAGGGAGCAAATTGTTTTTATGGTGAGGGCCCCTCTGCAGTTGTCTACGTAAACTAGACACAACCACCACATAGAACTGAATATGCAATCACAAGCAGAGTGTTCATACCCAGAACCGAACACTTTAAAATCTAACCATAATCATGTAGATGCTGTGATCTCTGTGAGGAAGGAGAATATCAATGAATAACCATTAGGTTCCATTCACACATATCGGTTGAACGTGGAACGAAAACACGCACATTTTAACATATGTGCAGATTCCGCACATTTGCGGCTACTAATATAGCCGTAATGCGCGGAATCTGCCCAAAATAACACGCTTGGACTTTTTTGTGCGCCGCGCGTTTTCGGATTGCGTGGACGACGCGCATGTGTGAACCAGGTACATTGAACTGTATTCATTTTTATGTTTAGCGCACTACCACACGCATTTGTACCACTAATGTGTGGACGGAGCCTTAAAGTGTATCTAAGCCCAAAATCCAAATGTAATATAGTGTAGCTTACCAGTTCTTAGATAGGGAGGCTGCATACGTTTTTGCTTTATTTTTATCTGGTAAGCCTGTGAATAACACATTTTCTGTTTGTGGGTGACTACTCTTACTCCTCCACTGTATCTATGGAAGGGGCTATGGTTGTTACACAGCCTGGACTTCAAACATTTCTTCCTTTGTTCATCTCCAGTACACAGTGGATGGGGAGATTAGTAGGTTACATATGGAGGATAACATTGTTTTAAGCTGTTTAAGTGATAAGAACATTGCATTTTTGAAAAGATCATCAGGTATTTTCTATACTTTGTGAAAATGTTCATAGCCAGGAAAAATTAAAACTAAAGCAGCCAGGTCATCTAAGGATCTAAGAAATTTTGTTCTTGTGTTTGGTATCTTTTAATTCACACATTGTCTATTTTTAAGCAAACATTCACATTCACAAATTTCTCAAGTGTAACAAGCGTATTTCTTTAGGCTACATTCAGAGTGGAGATTATTAAGAAGACAGCTAATTACATTAAAATAGCAGAGTGTTAAAACAATGTAAGCTCTATTGCTCTGCTGTAAAAATATGATTACCATATCTGCCTAATTAACATGGTAATAGAATGTTTTGTGGTCCTGTACATTCACTGAATTATGTTCAGCTCTTTCTTTCAATGCTAATGCCTTAATATATAGACTATTCTAGTATCCTTTGCGTTGTGTTGAAAGTAAGCTGTGAAGACAGGAACATATAAGCTTCCATTTCGCCTGGTTTTACTACCTAGATAATCAATAGCATGAACAAGCATGCAAGTCCAAAGTTCAAACTCTGCAGAGGTTAGTGACTGCGTGCCTGTTCCAGATCAGCTGCTCACCAAGTAGGGAAACCAGAATCCAGATGACATTGCCAGAGTCTACACCATTAAAATCATGCCAGGAATGGCAGCCCCTATGTCTATCCTCACACATTGGCTTTTGGACCACGTTTGGTGGGCATTGACCAAGTAAGTCAACTAATTTCTCATTTATCGCTGCCATTCAATAGAACGTTCACAGCACATGACCCTAAATAGTTAACAATCCAATGATTGAAAACCAACCCAAACTTTTGTCTTGACGGTCCAAAATAATAAGGCAATATTTTCAGAGGTAGAAGTGAAAGAAACATTTAAGAAGACTCTAATGGCTTCTATAAGAAACACAGTCAGTTTTTCTAAACATGACAGTAGTCCTAACCCTTTCACAATCATTAGATAAAAGCCTTGGCTTCAGATACACTGAAAGTTTTACATGTATAATTTTTCTCTGGTTTTTTTTTTCTTTTAATTATTTTTTATTTGTATCCAGTGGCTGAATCAGGGGGGCCTTATCTATTCCCCCGCATGCAGCAACTGCTAAGAGTGATCCAATATGCACTCTGTCAACAGAAGCTGATCTATATTACAGTTATATGTTGCTGCAAGGGGAGGCAAAGCAGATTTAATCAGAAATTACTCCTTCCAAAGATGTCTTAAGATTGCCTAAAACAACTCTGTTACTACCTAAAATAAAAATTTAAAAACCTACCCTGTAAAATGAGAGTTTTAATACTTACCTGTCCCCTGTCCTTGAGGCCAATCTTCACTCTCTTGAAGAACAGCCGTTGCCAAAGGATCTTCTACTTCTAACCCATTTCCATGCATTTCAAATGCCCAGTCCCCTGCTGCATGCTGTGGATCCACCACAGCATGCAGCAGAGGGTAGTGGCAGTCACAGTTATGAGCAGGCTTGGGTGAACTCAGGAGAACTAGGTTTGCACCAAGCCCTGGCTCATCTGTAGACAGAATCAATTTAAATATGTTGCTATCAAACCAATGTCATCCATGCAACTAGAAAATGGCTAAAGGATAATTAATTACTAAAAAAAAACACCATACACTTACAGAAAAAAATCTTCCTCCTCATCAGAGTCCCCTTCTAACAAATTCCGCTGTGGAAAAAAGGAAAACATAAATTATTAGAGAGAGCTGAACCTCCAAATGGCATGTGTAGCATATAGGAAAACTACTCATACACATCTCCTAAGGGCCCAACCCTAAAACAAAACAAACAGTCAGAAGACTGGTGAATGGAGAGAGTAGAATATAGGCGGAAACTTGGGTCTTTGAGCTGGGTTACAGAGCTGGGATGGTAGACATCAAGGACTCATGAGGAAAGGAGAGACTCCCTGGATCAGACTATATGGATGACCATGAGGAATGAAAAGACTACGTGAAACAGACTGTATGAGTGACCATGAAGAAAGAATAAACTCCCTGGATCAGAATGTACGAGTTATCATGAGGAAAGAAGACACTTCCTGGATCAGAATGTAGTGAGTGATCACAAGGAAAGAAGAGTCTCCCTGGATCAGACTCTATGGATGACCATGAGGAAAGAAAAGACTCCCTAAAACAGATGGTATGAGAGTGACCATGAGGAAAGAAAAGACTCCCTTAAATTGAGTGTATGAGTGACCCCGAGGAAAGAATAAACTCCCTGGATCAGGCTGTATTGAGTGACCATGAGGAAAGAAGTATCTCCCTGGATCAGACTCTATGGATGACCATGAGGAAAGAAGAAACTCCTCACGTCATATTGCATGAGTGACCATAAGGAAAGAAGAGACTGCCTGGGTCAGAATGTATGAGTGACCATGAGGAAAGAAGAGACTGCTTGGATCAGAATGTATAAGTGACCATGAGGAAAGAAGAGACTGGCTGAATCAGACTGTATGAGTGATCATCGGTGGACCACCCACCCAAAGACCCCACAGGCACCAAGGGAGACTGGGAAAGGGGCGCAGAAGTACAGGCCGCGCAAAGGGGAGACTTGGGAGATGTCCCTGAAGAGAGGCCGCAGCCCTTACAGGGTTCGATCTGTTCCCTGTGTCCTTCAATGAACGGGAGAGAAAGAAGAAACTGCCTGGATTAGACTGTAACAGTGACTATGAGGAAAGAAGGAGACTCCTCAGATCAGACTGTATGAATGACCATGAGGAAAGAAGAGACCCTCTGGATTAGACTGGATCAGTGACTATGAGGAAAGAAGAGACTCTTTAGATCAGATTGTATCAGTGACTATGAGAAAAGAGACTCCTTAGATCAGATTGTATCAGTGACTATGAGAAAAGAAGAGACTCCTTAGATCGGATTGCATGAGTGACCATAAGGAAAGAAGAGACTGCCTGGATCAGACTGTATTATTGACCATGAGGGAAGAAGAGTCTCCTTGGATCAGACTGTATCAGTGACTATGAGAAAAGAAGAGACTCCTTCGATCGGACTGCATGAGTGACCATAAGTAAAGAAGAGACTCCCTGCATAAGACTATATAAAACAGCCTCCCCAACAATGCTGAAATAAACTGGTATAGCAACATAGTTGTTCTACACATGGAGAACCTCTCTAAGATGTGAAATGTATTACTACTAGCACAATATCTAATATAAAAATCATTTGTAGATACCGTTTAAAAGAAACCATCAAATGTAAGCCAGGAATTCATGGCACAAGTGGCACAAAACCCTCAAAGCGATATACAAGTAACAACATCTTGGGAAACAATGCTCCGAAGCATTTCCTCCCACATCCTGCCCCAAATACTTTTAAGTCTTCTCTCATCTTCACATCATTCTGTTTCTGGCTCCACATGTTTCAGTATCGGAACATTTCACTTCATCTGTAGTCAGGCTTCTGTATATTCTACAAAACTGCTACTGCAAAGGCTGCCAGTTCAAAATAATACCAATACAAAATGGTTATTACTTTGTGCTTGCTGTCAGCACTGTATGCAACAAACCATGACAACTGTCAGTATGCTATTTCATTCTCTGTTCTTTATCTATTTGTTTCAATTTTCCATTTATGGCAAATCTTATTTCTGCGATCAATGTTTACAATATTGCTACACAGTTTAGGCATAGATATTACAATAATGTAATTATAAAGAAAACTAAATGCCAAAAGCAAACCATTGGGTCACAGACACAATACACAACAAACAGATAGATTACAGCATATTTGGTCCAAAATGGAACCAGCTTAGGGGATTTAAAATGGCTTTGTACATTATACCTTTTATTTTTAAGCCATCCGATTTCATGTTTTATGTTGTACCGGATTACAGCCATTATCTGATTAATTGCTATTTTGCAAATCTCCAGTACAACCACCACGCACAGCAGTACACATTCCATGGGTTTGATTGTTTACAAGCCATTCCATCTCTACCCAGTTCAAATCCAAAAGGCATCCTAGACAATGAGGTAAAAACTGGCCATAGTAATTTCCCCAGTCAAACACACATAGCATATGAACTGGATTACATTACTAACTTTGTGCTGAACTGCCACCACCCAAAACAGAGCCACATGTGCCAATTCTAGTCACCAAATAGAAATGCAGTTTTGTCACCAAAATGAATATGTATGAAACAAAAACAGGACTGTTCCATCTGGGGCAATACTTCATGGAAATTGAGCATAATATTTATAAGTGTGCTCCTTTACTTGGTAAACAGATTATTTCACAGGTCATCCAGCTTGTAAAATCCAGACCCAAAATCAAAACTACTGTAGCAAAGTGAACAAGCTGTCTCTAGAATCCTTCTTTTGAAAAACATATGACAGGAATGCAGAAGGTTTAAAAGTTCATGAGCACTTTTTTCAGGTGTGCTGACTGCCTGGTTCTTCAGATATGACTAACTATGTGGGAAGTGAGAAGAAGGAAATGTTATACGGGATTGAAAAGCTGGTGATACAAACTATAATATATGTAATATTAAAGTGACACTAAACTCTGGAGTTAAGTCTTAAAAATGCATACAAGTGCCTTAACTATTAACAAAAATGTATCTTATTTGTGTATCACTTGGCTGCAGATCAATACAGATGCTCAGTACTTTGTTGGGCCACGAGACGGCTCCACGAGATGACTTCGTTGGGCCACCTCGTGACTCCACGAGATGTTGAAAGGTGATGCGAGGAATCTGACACTGCACTGTCGCCCTTCTGTTGTCTTGTACCAGTCTTGCCACTCTTCGTTCTGCCCTAACATTGACTAGTCGCTGACGGCCACAATTCGCACGTTCAGACCCAGATTTTCAGCTGACAGTCCAGTCTTTAAACACTTTAACAACAGCTGCTCTTGAACATTTAACGAATTCTTCTGTTTTGCTGATACTCGCTCCATGGCTCCGAGCGCCAACAATCATCCTACGTCCAAAGGCTGTTCAATCGCGTTGTTTACCCATATCTTCAGAAAAAAAATCACTTCTACTGTCGTGGTAAACAACCTGTTTCCCTATTTATAATGGTCTGGCCCTCTAGCAACTTCAGTGCGAAATGATAGCTAATTTGCCTACAAGCGTCAGGTGGTCATAATAAACTAACATTTTGAAGACCAATATAAAAACTGGATTCCAACCATTTCCTGGTGCCAAGAGCCTATGAAGCCTTCTAGCTTCCGGAGACAGAAGCATCAGGGGATGCAAAGTTTTACAAAATAAGCTATCACAGAGAAAGCCTGATGCCATCATTCTCTCTTGCAACCAGCAATGTACCTTATCTGACACTGTGATTTCTTGGCCAACAGCGCCTGCCGTGATGTCATTCAGGACATAATTTATATTTAAAAGGTATGTGACCACTGAATACACATAGTAACATAGTATGTAAGGTTGAATAAAGACCAAGGTCCATCTAGTTCACCCTATGTATGTCAGTATGTAAGTGTGTGTGTGTATTTATCTTACTCTAACACTTCCCATATCCCTGTGGATTCTGTAAAAGAAGAAACTCATCCAGAAGTCTCAATGTTATTCGCAGACACCACCGCCTCTGGTAGGGAATTCCAAACTTTCACTATTCTCACAGTGAAATACCCCCTACAAATTCTAAGATTGAACCCCCTCTCTTCTAACCTCTTGTTGGGTCTGTGGTCCCCATTGATGATTTTGAAAAATGCAATATGGTCCCCTCTTAATCGCCTCTTTTCTAAGGTGAATAAGTTAAGATTTTGAATGCGGTCATAACACAGGCCTTCAATCTCTTTAATTTTGTAGCCCTTCTCTGAACCCTCTCCAGTTCCAGGACCTCCCTCCTGGGAGTCGGCAACCAGAACTGTACCGCATACTCAAGATGGGGCCGAACCAATGATTTATAAAGTGGAAGTATTACTCTTTGATCCCTTGCTACAATTCCTCTTTTAATACACGCCAGTACCTTGTTAGCTTTACTGGCTGCTGCTTGGCATTGCTTACTATTGCTAAATCTGTGACCTATGAGCACCCCCAGGTCTATTTCTATGTCTGACTTCCCTAATGTAGCACCCCCCAAGTAGTAGTTTGCGCACATGTTCTTTACTCCCATATGCATAACCTTACATTTTTCAACATTAAATCGCATTTGCCATCTTGTAGCCCATGCCTCAATTTTGCTTAGGTCCTGTTGTAGTGCGAATATCTCCTGTTTGGAATTTACTGCTCTGCAAAGTTTAGCATCATCCGCAAAAACTGAAATTTAGCTATTTAATCCAATCTCTATGTCGTGGATGACATGTTGTGGGGCTTTACTAATCCCACTGAAACCAACAATAGGGCAATATTCCTTACACTGACACCAACAATGGGGCACTATTAGTTCCACTGACACCAATGACTGGACACTATTCCTTACACCAAAACAAACAATGGTGCACAGTTCTTTCTCCCACTGACCAATGATCCTGGAGTGTGTTATTTTCTCAGTTACCACTGATTCCAAGTAATTTTTTACTCCCACTGACATAAGGTGTTTTTTGTTCTCACTGGTCACTGACCCCGGGGAAAACCTTTACTCCTAATGACCACAGCCAGGCCCCCCCAACAATCCGAAGCGCAGCGAAATGGCCCATTGTTTAAAAACTTTGAGAACCCCTAATTTTCTTTTAGACTTTGGGGCTGCTTTAGTAACTGACAAAGTGACTATGTATTGCACCGTGCCTGTACATTATATGGAATCAAATAACACAAATAAATGTTACCAATTCTATTTTGTGGTTATCCTATTCAGATTTAAAACAAATATATAGTAGAAACAAGAACTTACTCTTTCACTTTTAACTGATCCTGTTACTTCTTCATCCTTAAGGTGCCGCTTAAACTTTGGAGGCATTGTGTTGGATTACAAGAACACAGTAATGGAACAGGCGCTTTATAGATGTTCTCTTTTGTTTATTATTCAGCTATAGGGCCCTGCAAAAAACAGAAATTACAGTATAATAATAAATGAATAATATTGAGGTACAACAAGCGAAGTCAAAGCTGGTTCACCGCTATACCAAACCCTAGTGCCTACCCAGCAAGACAAAGCAAGTTCACGTTAATGGTAACTCCACCAGCTGCACATATTTGCCTTTGTCCCCCTGGCACAGCATTCAGTTGCTTCAAGCAAAGACAGTTAGCACTGAGTTCTAAGTTCTGGAAACATACAAAGGGCTAAGGACTGTTAGCCCACCCCTCCATAATATTCATCTAGTCATGCTCCCCCGCTGCTTTATTTGTCTGTAGGAATCCTTGAAACTACTGTCATGAAATAACTTTTTAGGTGCAGGTACAACTACCTGCTATGACCATTAGCCAGTGGACCTGAATTATTATGCAATAGCTTGATATTGGAAAGACAGTAATGGTATGCTGTAGCTAGTCTGATTTTTTTGCACAATTGCTTTAACATTTATAGTAGGATGTATGTAATTGGTATAAGCTATGATCATTGGTCAAATTCAGATGGCCGTTAGGATTTCATAGGGACTTTTTTAGATATTTCTGTCACTCAGATGTTCTCAGACTTGGCACAGTGCCTTGGTCATGAGGTTGTCTGTGGTTGTCTGGAAAAATCACGTGTTTAAACCAATACAATCATGTCTCGCACACCCCAAATTATGAAAGTATCATATAAATAGACCAAAAGTTAATATACAGTATATATGTCCAAAGCCTTATACTTTATGAATTGAAGCCATTTTGAAAACATTTTCCCTCTCAATACCAAATACTTCGTAATATAGGGGACAATATGACCTTCTCCCCTTCCTCCATATATGGAGTATTCAGGTCTGGGTGGTCAATCACCCGACCTCAATATTGACCCACGGAGGAGGGGAGAAGGTCATTAACCCAGTGCAAGGTCACTCCAGCAAGAGTAAGTACATATCTAAGCAGTAGAAAGGGTGGGCCAGTTTGTCCTACATGGGAAAATAACAGCACACTTTAGGTTTATTGATTATTTTGATCTTCACTGGAGTTCTGCCTAGAAGTACTGAAAAATATGAACAGGAGTGTTTTTCACATTTTGACTAGCTCCCTGTTCATTTTATGCTTTATTTTAAAGACCTACATCTCATGAAAAACATACAATTCACTTAAGGTACATATTAATGCTAACCGGATTAGGGATGAAACCAACTAATCGATTAATCAGTAATAATCGAGTGAGAATTGTTGTCAACGATTCTCATTATCAGTTATTTGATCTGGATCCCCTAGTTCTCTCCTCCGTGCTGGGAGCCAGTGTGCCATCTCTGTGGAGGGGACACCGACCCCTGCAACCAATGACCAGCAGTGAGGAGATCTCCCCTCAAACCTTAACTCACCCCCACTGCTCTGCAGCTCTCTCCTCCCGTTTGGGAGCCCGCGGCAGTCTGTGTCCCCTCTGATCTTCGCTGCTCTCTCCTGCCTGTATCGGCAGAGACAGCAGGGATTGGAGGGGACACAGACTGCTGCAGACGGTGCCCAGTGGGGAGGAAAGACTGGCTGCCAGGGCAGTAACTGTAACTCTGCAAATCAACACCGCCCCCTGTTCCATTCAACTGTTCCACTCCAATCCACAGTGGTCAGAAGCAATAGCCAGCCTGGTATTGATTATTTCAAATTGCAGTAGCCAATAGCAGGCTGGTTATTGCACCTGCCCACTCCCTGCTGACAATCAGCAGACTTGAGGGAGAACTTTCTTTTTTTTTTTTATCCGAATAATCGAAAAAATTAACGGCCAACTAATCGATTATGAAAATAATGGTTAGTTGCAGCCCTAAACTGGATGACATTTATGTGTGTTAGCACCGTGTACCAAAAGCAACTGCCATGATTTTTTTAAAAATTTAGAATATTATGGGGGAAATATATGAAAAGTGGAGCAGATGCTCATAGTAACCAATCAGCTTCAGTTTGTTTGCCTGAGTTCATCCAAGCCTACTCCAAACTGTCACTGCCGCCTCTTCCTCCCGACCCAATCAGTGGAAGCAGTTGTGGCGGGGGTATTCCCTGCCCCTTTGTGACATATAGCTGCGGGGTGGGGAATGCGCCTCTCTGTAACTGATTGGGTCAGAAGGAGGGGGTGGAAGTCAGAGTTTCAAGCGGGATGAGGCTGGGCTTGGTGTAAACCCATTTCACCCAAGCACACTCAAAAGTGTTACTGCCACCCCTTCCTTCCAACCCGTTCAGTTGCGGCAGGCGCAGTTATACATAACAAAGTGACGGGGAATGTCCCTGTGCCACTGACTGGGTGGAATGAGGTGGGGGGGTGTTGGATGGCTTCGGTCACAGTTTTTAGGTGAAATTGGTTCACACCAGACCCAGCCTCATCACTAGTCTCCACAAGGACAGGGTGGGTGACAACACGGGCGAACAATTGGCAGACAGTGTATGAAAATCATAACTGTCAGTGACAGCGCCAGGAGAAGATCGTGGTGTGTAATAATCACAATGAATAAAGCCAGGATGTTTACAGTGAGTAGCATTCATCCGTACCTAGAATAGACATAATTATTTTCACAGACATCATTATTTGAGTCAAAACAATCAACACTGAATGACTAAACTTGTCATGTCGCACTATATATGTATGGCTGGTTTTAGACTAGAGTTCTACTTTAACATGTGAATTATGACATCTGAGTGATTGGGATTACATGTACGAGACATAAAGATATTATACACAGCACTGTCTCCAAATCACAAACATTCACAATGCAAGGGTCAATCACCATTCATCAATAAAGTGTTACCAATCACAATCCTATAATCAGCTGACTGTACTGTAAGATTATCTAGCCGGCAACGATCATAACCCTTAATGTCAATTGTATACACAGACAGGAAATTGTATACACAGACAGCCTATCCTCCATTGAATCACAAAGAACTGATATCAAAGAAAGAATCGCGGGGCATTATACTGTAGCGAAGGCGTTGCCTTGGCTTTGTCAGACAATAGAAAAGGCGAGCGGAGTATTTGTAGCAATAATCCCAAATAATAAATATACCAGCACCTGTACACAAGACTCACAGCCGGGCCCGGGATGACGTCATCAGCAGGACGCAGCATCAAAAGAGCCAAAGAAAAATGGCCGCCGGGTGCGCAGGAGCGAAATACTAGAGGCCCAGAGAGACAGAGAGCGGCCATTGTTTGGTAGCCGTGACAAAGCATGACAAGAGAGTTTTGTTTTTGTTTTTATTTATAGAGCTCATACATTCTGTGATAGAGGAGGAAATAAAGACTACATAGACATAACACATTTCTTTCCAGTCATACTGGGGGATTAATGAAAACTACATGAAGACTGCTGGAGCAGAGTTTTTTTATGGCAACTAATCAGCTTCTCTCTTTAGTTTGTTCCACTAAGCTTTGAAAATAAAACAGAAAAGCTGATTGGTTGCCATTGAAAAACTGCACCAGATTCTGTCTGCTTCCGTTTTTATGAATTCCCCCCCATTCATGGCTGTATAGGAGTAAGGTTGAGATTCAGTTTTGCCTCATTCATAAATTCTAGATAATTTTCCAGGGCTTGATTTCCATGCCACATACTTATTGGACCATACCACATACTTATGTCTAATTTTGCGTGTGCAAATTTTGGGACAACCTATAATGTACCCTGTCTAGCAGATGCACAAGACCCAGTCATGGGGGAGAATGGGTAACCAAGCACCTTCACTCTCCCCATTCACACTTGCATTTTTGCATGGTTTTTGTGCTTCACACATAGGGTAACCTCAAAAAATTGTCCATCTTGTTTATCATGTTCAGGGTGCCATTAGTAATAAATGATACCGCAAATGCAACACAAGTTTTTCACACATTTTGTGAACATGTGCAGAATCGTGCCATTTTGTGCACATTCTACAGAAGTGTGAATAAGGTGTCACAGCAGCCATGACAGTGGGCCAGAACTGTTGTAGGAATAGGTGACCAACTGCATAGGAAGGGATTAGTGTAGGGCCTGCAGTCTAAGGTTACAGGTTTTCAAAATGACATCCAGGGACAATCTACCGACCATGCCCACTTTTAACCAGACCCTCAAAATCACCCCGTCCCCCTCCCTATCCACAAATCACCCCTATTTTTAATATATCTTCAAGTCATTGGTCACAGACTTTTTGGAACAAGAGACAGACATTCTTCAAGGTATCAAGGCATAAAAAAGAGACATCAAGATATTCATGCATACAAAAAAACACCGGTGGAGTGGCCAATAAACTGAGTGTTTCTTCTCAGTGTATGGTTTGTAGTGTCAGAGTAAAAATGAGCAACAGTAATCCCCAACATTGGCAGTAACAGTAACCCCCCAACATTGGTGTCATTGGCAGTAACAGTAACCCCCAAACATTGGTGATATTGGCAGTAATAGTAACCCCCAAACATTGGTAACATTGGCAGTAACAGTAACTCCCAGCACTGGTGTCATTGGCAGCAATAATGCCCCCATTCCCTCCTGCCAGCACCCATGTATTTCCTAAACCACAGGTACAACCCATCAACCCATCCAGCCGTGTTTCCCTCATGGCTCCCAGTCTCCCTCATCCTCTCTCACCATTATCTGTATATCCCCACCATCCTGACAACTCTTGTACCTCTGCCCTCAAAACAGAGACTGTTCCCAGCAAATGGGAACCGATGCAACCCTACTGTAGGCAGATGACTTAAATTAGATGTAAACCCTTACTGAAGGACATCTGGTTTAATTTAGAATTTAGCTAAATGCTGTGTATCTGACACAACTGCCTATATTTACTTGGCTAAAAAGGAGGTTTCATCCTTTGTTACATTTGATGATCTTTTGCAGCTACTTCCCATTCAAATGCACCACAGTGGTGGCTGCATGTTATTTCAGGACACGTTATTGTGATGCATGCATGCTATTTCAGGGCATTCATCACAGTAGTCTGTAATCTCTATTGGGAAAGCATGTGACAGG